AATGAAAATGAAAATAAAATTTTACTCTGATTTGTGCTCTGTTTTTGCTTGACAGAATAAGAGTAAAATTTTACTCTAGTATGTACTCTATTTTTATTTGATAAAATAAGAGTAAACTTTTAACTTTGTGTTATCTGTTCTGTTTTTTATGTTTTTTTTATCCAATGATAGTAAACTTTTACTCTATTATTGTGTACTTCTGTTATTTGTTTTTGGACTCCTAGTGACAGTAAAATTTTACTATCAATTCATTGTAGATTTGAATAATACAATGATAGTAAAATTGTATTTTCAGAGTAAAATTTTACTCTGAATCAGAGTAAAGTTTACTATGATTCAAAATAAAATTTTACTGTAGTTAAAAACATGTTGATTTGCTTAACGATATAAAATTTTACTTTGAATCATAGTAAACTTTACTCTGAAATTTTACTCTGGTTAAAAACATGTTGATTTGCTTAAAAATATAAAATTTTATTTTGAATCATAGTAAACTTTACTCTGATTCAGAGTAAAATTTTACTCTGAAAATACAATTTTACTATCATTTTATTATTCAAATCTACAATGAATTGATAGTAAAATTTTACTGTCACTAGGAGTCCAAAAACAAATAACAGAAGTACACAATAATAGATTAAAAGTCTACTATCATTGTATAAAAAAAACATAAAAAACAGAACAGATAACATCAAGTTAAAAGTTTACTCTTATTTTATCAAATAAAAATAGAGTACATACTAGAGTAAAATTTTACTTTTATTCTGTCAAGCAAAAACAGAGCACAAACCAGAGTAAAATTTTATTTTCATTTTCATTCTATCAAACAAAAACAGAACACAAACCAAAGTAAAATTTTACTCTCATTTTGTCAAACAAAAACATAGCACAAACCAGAGTAAAATTTTACTCTCATTCTGTCAAACAAAAACTAGAGCACACACCTGATTGAACTCGGCAAATCAATGATGGTTTGATCAATTTTTATTTTTATTTTCTGTTATGATGTTTTTGTGAATGGAATGTAAATAATCAGCTCTTTTCACCGTCGGAAAAAATAGAAATTTTTAATATTTTTATTAATTTTGTTATAGGTTTTACTTTTTGCGACGATATTATACTGTCGCAAAAAATAGAAATTTTATTATTTAAAATAAAAATTTTATTATTTTTTAATATTTTTTGCGACGGCATTACACTGTCGCAAAAAAAAGAAAATTTTATATTTTTTATACTTTTTGCGACGGTACCACACCGTCGCAAAAACAGTGTTTTTTTAAAGAAAAAGACTATTAGCGACGGTATTTTTTGCTGTCTCAAATAACATTTTTAGCGACGGTAAAATAGGGTCGTCGCAAAAAAGTCAATAAATTTCAAACGTTATTAGCGACTGCACGGTGCCGTCGCAAAAAGGTAAAAAATGCCGTCGCAAAACATTAGCGACGGCACTTACCGTCGCAAAAAATCTTTTGCAACCCCTGCAGTTGCGACCCCCTCTTGCCGTCGCAAAAAGTATTAGCGACGGCATTAGGAGTATTAGCGACGGCATTTTACCGTTGCAAAAAGTCAATTTTTTTGTAGTGTAATACGCGTTTGATGAAACCATTAACGCAGAAAAAAGATTATTTTTTCATCAAATTTAAATTTAATGACAGAATTAATGAACCATTGGAGTTGATCTTACTAATGTTTTCATGTATTAACCACCAGTACATTCATGGTGTGTATAGAGATCTGTGCTTGGTTCCGCTTCCAATCTCCACTTGTTCAGATTGCTACTTATTGTTTGAATCTCGCTCCTTATTGTCCCATCATCGTTACTCTCTGTTCTTCATCGACCCTAATAATCTCTAACATCTACTCTTTTTTTCATCACTCTTTCTTCATTGATCGATTTGGTCTAGTTTCAGGTTCATTTGGTTTTTGATTGAGGTAGATTTGAAAGTTTGTTCGATCATAATTGACGACTTTTATATCTTGTTGTAGTGTTTCTTCTTGTAATATATACTCTATTTTTTGTTATTGATATCTTGTTTAGAATAGATAATAAAATTTTATTCTGGTATTGTGTTTATGTCTGATTTGTTTGTGGACTTATACTGAAGATATGTTTTACAAATTGATTAGTGTGTTCCAATTGAGTGAATGAATAAGTTTTGAATTTTTACACCATTTGTTTGTTATTGATAAATTTGACAATACAATTTTACTCTTGTTTGAATTTTGTTTGGTGACAATTTGTTTATAAATGATAGTAAAATTTTACGGTGAATCATAAAAATAATTTACTGTGAAATAGGGTACAATTTTACTATTTATGTCAAGTTCGATAATAATTTTTTTTTATAAAGAATTTCATTTGAACTTCAATCTTGATGAGAAGATTAAAAAAAATATTAATTTTATTAAAAATTAATATCTAGATCAAAAATTATATCATTTTAAAATTTAAAATATTAAATTTACTCACTAAGAATATTTTAGTAATAGTGGTATGTATTGGACTTTTTAATGAAAATTTTATGTGAATGTTCTTAATGCGTTAAAGTTGTATTATAAGGGAACTTTGATCAAATTCCCTTATTATAAATTAGTAAAAAGACCCTATCTAGTTAAAATTTATTTTAAAAAATACTTTAAATTTATATTCTACACTTCGTATGGCAAATTATTATTTTTTTTTTTAATAAGGATAAGGGTAATTATCTCTAGGAATTTATTACTTATTTTCTACAATGGTTACATGTTTACCTTTATCTAATATTATATGTCAGATTTTGTTTATTTATAATTGATTATTTTTAAGTTTTTTGATGTGTTCTTTTTATAACTTAATTAATTTTTATTTATTTATTATCATTTGTAACTAAGTGTTATTATTTAAATTATCTAATTGTACTTTTTCAGTATATCTAATACTTATATAATTTTATTGGCAAGACTGATAAATTAGACTCCAATACAAATTTAAACACACAATGAAACAAAACATTTTTTTTAAAAAAATTATGATTTTCCTATAACAAAATATTAATTAGTTAGGATTTTTTTATTAATTTATAATACTTATGGGCATATTTTATTTTTGTAACCTTTTCAGAGACTAAATATGTTTCAATTAAATACTTAAGGATATAATAGATTCAATCGATAATTTAGGAATTAAATAGACTTTAATTTATATATTTTAGTGACTTAGTAACTCAATCAAGAGTTAAGGGACTAAGGCTCTGTTTGTTAGGGGTACATAAAGGGCGGATATAAGGGGGGACTAGATATAATATGAGGTGGGTCCCACATATTTTCTTGTCTCTCTATGTCCTGTGTTTTGTTGCTCCATATATATAGAGAATCCGGATAGTATATCCCCCAAAAGGGGATATGCAATGTCCCATGGTATTGTATATCGCCCACCGTCGGATATAAAAAATCTTTCATCTAAAGGTCAAAAATAATTACTCTCCTCTTATCCTATCATATATCTTATCTTAACCAAATATAATATAAGTAATACCAGAGTATATATAATCCATATCATATCTTACAACATATTATATCATATTTTTATCCTTAGGTATTACATATCCTCCTCAAACCCTTAAATCCAACCCAGACAATCAAACAGGGCCTAAGTAGATAATTTGGCAATAATTTAGGAATAGAATGTGTAATAAATCCTTTAGCATAAAAAAAGTAGGAGAAATTACAATTCATTAGCCTTTTCTAAAAATAATTGCAGATTCATAGAAAAATTTATAATTTTAATTATTAGTATTTATAAAATTTGTCACTAATTTGTAATTAATAGAATTTTTTTAAATTATTGTTGGTTTGATATTTCCTCAAAAAAAGTAGGTGAACAAATTTATTCTCAAAATATTCACTCTAGATCTTAAAATCTCTCAATAATCCTAAAATTTCACTCTAAACATATATTTTTTATTTTCATTAACATAAACATAGTTAGTATTTTCTTAGTAAGTTGTATAGGATAAACGGTTTAGATCACCTAATTGAGTCCAAATTAGTCTAATAATAAGTCAACTTCACAATAAAATTAAAAGGCATGTTTGATTTGTTTCTCAAAACATATTTTTAGAGAAAAAAATTTTGACAAACATGTTTCGTTCATTTTTCTCTCTTCTCTCTTTTTTTCAATCACTTTTTCTCTCACATTTACCTATTCAATTATAAATAAAAAAAAAATATCAAATCATTCCAAACTCTAAAACTCCAAAACTAATTTCAAAATATATAACTAAACAATTTTTTTTAATTTTTTAAACTCTCTTTGAAAAATAATTTTTAAAATAATATCTCAAAATACAAAGCAAACAAGGAGTTTTTTTTTTAAATATTCCAAAAAAAAAAAACTAATTAGAGAATTGACCCACTTTTCAAACTATTTAGAAAACTAACCTACTTTTTGAAATCGCATTTTCAAAATGTGATTTTCAAATTGAAATTACATCTTCAACATGCAATTTCACTTTAAAATTGTAAGTTGAAAATACAATTTATGATGATATGGTGAAATTGTATGTTGAAAATACAATTTCAATTTTAAAATCGCATGTTTAAAATACGATTTCAAAAGTAGGTTAGTTTTTCAAATAGTTTAAAAAGTGAGTCAATTCTCTAATTTTTTTTTTTTTAAGAATATTTCAAAAAAAAACTCAACAAACAAGGGCAAAATCTTTATTTCTAACAAATCAAGACTCCCTTATCCACATGATTCCGTAGTGCATGAAACTAATTAGTGGTGCCTCTAATGATATGGCACAGTGTGTTTATGCATTGTTTTTTGTTTTTTTCAATTGTCACCTCACCAGTGGCGGAATTAGTAATAACAAATTGGTGATCTATAACATTGCTTGACTGTTTCTACTTTGAACCTGCCATCCAACCAATCTCTCTTCCCCCACTACCCATCCAAAAAAAACAAAAATTAAAAATTAAAAAAAAAATAAGAAAAATAAGAAGAGTTCATTGATTGATACCTGGCGCATTGGCAGGACCATTGCCGCTCTCATCCAAAGCTTCATGTCCACCCATGGATGAACCCTCCTGCCTCTGTTGCTCTTCCTCTTGAAATACAGTATCCACTTTATTTGAATTCATCTCTGTTTTCTATTTCTGGCTATGTCTTCTCTGTTTGATTTTTCACCAATGTTTCTAGACAGTCATTTGTTTGGTGCGATTTATTATAAATTAAAATTTAATAATTAAAAAATAAAAACTAAATATATATCTTTGTCAACTTCTAGATAATCAATTTATTTAAATTATTTCAACGTTATAAATCATAAATAGAAATTACATTAAATAACTTAATACTCTCAAATAAAAATAAGTTGAGTTCTTTTACGTTGTAACAAAACCCAACTGAATCTAGAGAAAGAGGAGAAGATGTGGAGAGAGATAGAGAGAGAGATGCGGTTTTTCTGAGGGAGGAAATGGAGTAGCCACGGATTTGGATTTCAACGACGAAAGGAGGACATGTATACATATATATATATATATATATACTAGCGGTTGCCACACGCGATGTGTGTGTAATCCAAATAAATAAAAATAAAATAAAACATTTATCATATATTTTGTGTTAGTTAAGTGGTAAAAGTCTTACTCATTTGACATAAGTCTAAGGTTCAAATCCTCTCATCTATCTTTTTTTTTTTTATTTCAAAGAAAAAAGTAGACACATGGCAGCATAAGAAACAAATGTTTCAAGACACCATAAAAGGTGTTCACTTTATAATAGTATAGATAGATAGATAGATATATATATATATATATGTGTGTATAAAAAATTAAATAAAGTATGAATGTATGAAAGTGAAAAATAACATAAAAGCATATCTAAATAAGATAAATTACACTGAATACCTTATATTTTCATTAAAATCTCATTTTAGTCCCTTTATTTTTAATTCTAACCATCAACTCCTTATATTTTAAATTAAATTTCAATCTCACCCTTCAATTCATCCACTCTGTACTTTGATCCTCTTGAAAGATTTTTATTACATATATAATATATAGTGGAACCTCTCCATTACAAATAATGGAAAGGATCACAATCTCATCTTACTATCAACAAAATTGACATAATTTGTCATTTGAAGCATATGTGACAATTTTATTATCTCATTAGCATTCTTATATTTTTATTAAAATCTCACTTTAGTTTTTATATTTTTACTAAAATCTCATTTTCGTCGCTTTATTTTTATTTTTCGTTAGCTTTTATTAACAGTAGGTGGGGGAAAAAATGTGAAATTTAAATTTCTCTTACGCTGTGTTTGGTTGGAGGATTTGAAGAGAAATTTGAAAAGGAAAAAGGAAAGGGAAAAATTTGGTAAAATGTGAATAAAATATACCTACATTTCACCTAGTTTCACACACCTTTTCCCTTTCCCTTTCCCTTTCCAAATCCCTGCCCAAATCGCTTAACCAAACACAGCATTAAAGTGTAAGTGATCGATTGTATAAAAATGATTGCGCCATTGGCGATGTTGGTTCGACTGGAGGTGGCTCTAAGCTCCTTGTTCCATTGTCCATGGGAGCACTTAGAGGTAAAAAGATTGAAAAGATTACTGAATAAGGACTGCCAAATGGAGAAAATTGATAAAGGAATAAGATAAACATTTAGGGAAATTACAAATACATGGAACAGTGGAAAAAAATTGTACTACAAATGATTTTTTTTTTTCATACAATTCTGACAAACAAAAAAAATGTACAAAAAAAAAAATAAAAATATCATCGCAAGTACTCTCATTTTTTGAGACGGCAAATAGTGACGTCGCAAATACTCTGCTTTTTTGATACGGCAAATGGTGCCGTCGCAAATACTCTGCTTTTTTTAGACGGCATTTTCTGCCGTCACAAAAAGTGGCTTTTTGAGACGGCAAGTGTGCCGTCGCAAATAGTTCTGTCTCATATACCCAGTTTTCTTGTAGTGGCAATTTCCTTAAATCTTGTGAGAGAGAGAGAGATGAGATGTGAATGGGACACAGAGTGCATGGTTAACAAAAATAAGATGTGAGTCTGTTTGGTTTTATTTTCAAATTTTGTTTTTTTAATGAAAAAAAATTATTTTGAAAAAAAATAACACTAGAAAGATATTTTTGAATTTTTAAAAATTATTTATGCTTTTTAAAAAAATATAAAATCATAGAAAAATTAAGAATGTTTAATTTTTTTCAATCAAATTAATTTTTCTTTTTTTGAAATTTTTTTAAAATGAAACTAAACAAGGGAGATCTGAACCTAAAATGAGTTTGGAGAAATGAAACTAATGTGAGTTTGGAGAAATAAAAAATTTTGAACAAAAATTAATACTATAAAGACTATGTTTATATACTGAATTTAATAATCATACGATGTGTTGTTACTGTAATTATTTGATTCAATAGCTGCAACAATGAAACAACAGCGCTATCCCTTTGTTGGGTTCACTTCGATCACATTTGTTGGAAAATTTTGGTTTTATAAGGCTTATTTTGGGCCAATTTTGAGCTCAAAATTGCGTGATTCCAAACGTTTTTTTGGGGTGAGTCCGAAGAGGTGATATGTTTCTCGCTGCATGGCAAGTCGCACGGTGAAGACGGTTCGTCAAAATCATTTATGAGTGAATGGAAACTTGACGTCGTTCTAGGTGTACAACCTTGGGTTGGACCTCAAGGGGCACTCCAAGTTTGTAGAATGGAGAAGTAATGGATAAAGTAAACCTTAACCCAAACCACCACACAGGCGTGCACAGGTGTAGGTTGGGTCTCATATTATTTTTTTGGATAAAATTTATTTAAATTTTTAATAAAATAAAATTCGAATTTTGTATCAAAAATTGAATTTATTTTCTGTCCATTTCCAGTCCAAAATTCAAACAGATTAAACAGTTCTAAACTGTTTGAACCCCGGACAGATTCAGTTCCAGCCAGACAAATTTAAATATGTCCAGCAATTACCAACAGATAGAAACTGCTGGGCAGTTATCTGTTGCACCTGTTCATTTGAAAACCACATATGCTCACTTCAAATTAGTACCTGTTTGGCTCTATATATTCTAGACTTGTTCCAGCAGATTTTGGTTGATAAAAAAAAAACATCCAATAAATTATGTCCAGAGATTTGTTGAAATTCGGACAAATTCAAGATCTATTCAGTTTCCATTTTGAATCTGTACAGAACAGTTTCATATTTGTACAGGCAGTCTACACACCTCTGTACAGAACAGTTTCATATTTGTACAGGCAGTCTACACACCTGATCGGACAGATTTATTTGCCTATAAATACTAGCCATTTTCCAGCGGTCTTGAGGGTCGAAAAACAGTCTGAAAAATATTCTTTTGCTGTCCAAACTTTTATCTTTGGTGCATTATTATTCATATTAGTTTTAAAATAAAATTCAAAGAGTTAGAACACAGGTTTGGTTCGCCGTACAAATTGTTTGGAGTGCTATTACAATTTGTGAAGATCATTTTATCTTAGGAGATAAACGTCATTTAACCGTAAGCACCATAGCAGGGTGAATCTGTCTTAAGGACAGAGTGTCACACACTCGACTTGATCTTTTATTTTTTATTTGGTTCGTCAAAATAAATTCTGTAATTTATTTATTTTATTTTGTTTGATTTAGTTTCAATTTATTTTATTTACACAGAAGATTGTTCCAACAATATTTTCATGATCTAAATCGTTCGCTTTATTAAATTTATTGAATAAATTTTTCATATAAATATAAATTAATTAGATATTTGTGATTACTTGACCAGATCACATTCATTTTAAATTTACATTTATTGTCTATTTTTTTAAGACCATTATGATTTGATGTATGGTTGTTGATCTCCCATCAATTTAATTATTTCAACTAACCCTATAACAAAATGATTATTAATTCAACCATTAACGATTTGATTCTTTAAAACATTTCCAAAAGTCAATTATTTTATTAAATAATATTATGAGGAGCTTCTATTCCCACTCTATTTTTCTCCAATTATATTCTCTTCTTTATTCTTATTATACAGAGTTACTATTCACTCATCACTTTACTTTAAATATACTCCTTTATATATATAAGAAAGATAAAAAAGAAAGTTTATTTAGAGTAAAGTAAAGTGGGAATAGCAACTCCCTATTTATATTGCATAAATTATTATTTTCTTTCTAGCTGTATATGTAAGAGTTGGCCCTTATGAACAAAACAAAAACAATGTAAGAGTTGTCCATTATTAAAATAACATAATTTTATTACTTAATTGCTTCCCGTCGATCGGCCTTAAAAACTTGTATAACGTGTGTAATAGTCAAATGATTTGTTTTCTTTTCTATTTAACTACATGTGATATTTAAGGCTTATATTTACAATTGGAGATAGGAATTTGACAAATTATTCGAATTGTAAACCTAATTAGACAATTAGAATTGGTTTTTATTTTATTATATATATATATATATAAATACGAATATGATACGATTTTGAAGATACAAATATTAAATAAGTCATGCTCCAATTGACCACTCATAACACGAACATGACCTATTTAACAAGTGTAAAAATTTGTATCGACAAATAAGTCAAATAAGCTAAACACGTGGATATGAACCCACTATTATAAGTAAGCCAAATATAATTTAAATTTAGCAACCATAAAACCTTAAATATTTTATCCTTAGCCATTAGATTAAATTTGGATATTAGAAGAAAATTTGTTAATTTTGAAGTTTTGTTGGATATTTGTATATTAATTAATGGGTGAGTAGCTCAGATGGGATGTGTGGCCTATTATTTATGAATATTTTTTAGTAGCTCAGATGGGATGTGTGGCCTATTATTTATGAATATTTTTTATTTATTTTCATGAATATTGATATATATATATATATATGTTAACTGTTTTTTAGATGGGAACATATATATATTATCTTTCTTTGTGTTAATGTTTAATCAAATTATCCTTGTGCATGTGACGTAAATAAGTATGCTTGAAATAAATTATATAATTTGCTTATTATTATAACTATGTTAGGTGTGTCGTGTATGAATTGACACGAGATGAGACTAGTATCAAGATAATTGACACGTTTAATTAAATGAATCATGTTACT